ATATATATATAAAATATATACCATGGTGGGGATGAGAGCTACCCTCCCAGTATATCCACACACTGATTCATGGATACAGTACCTTTCACTGCAAAGGATATTGAGACAGGGCAGCAGGGTGGTGGTTATCTTTGTCCATCTAGAAGGATCCGATTTCAACACAAGTGTATTTAAGAACACAGGATGTTTACATACAGAAAAAGCAAGTCCAAAAGCAGAGAGGTCAGAGAGAAGAGAAAATGCTGTGCTTCCAGTTTTAAAAACACAAGGGACCATGGGCTAAGGAATGCAGGTCTTTAGAAGCTGGAAAAGGTGAACAAATTCTCCTTCAGGGCTTCCATAAGGAAGCGTGCTGGCTAACAAGTGCAAACCATGGGAGCTGTATGTATTTCCTTTGAACTGAAAGATCATTAATTTCTGTTGATTTATGCCTTTAAAGGTAATTTATTTCAGCAGTAACAGGAAACCAGAGTAGAGGGTGTGGCACAGGGCTTGGTCTTTTCCAGACAACGAATGTCACTTGCCAACATCTCCCAGCTCTGTCTGATGACAGTTCTTATATGATGCAGGATTGGCTCAATGGCTATTTCTCAGGAGCACTCATGTCCAAGATTGTGCTTGTGTGTTTGTGTGTGTGTGTGTGTGTGTGTGTGTCTCTCTCGTGCGCACCACGAGGCATTGAACCCAGGGCTTTGCACACTAGGCAAGTGTTGTGCCAGTGAGCTGGACTCTCAGTCACTGTCTTTATTCTTTGATTTTGAGACTTCTCTAAAGCATTTTAAGTATAAAACAAAGCAAAGCAAAACAAAACCGTTAGGTAAGTGAAGTAAATAAAGAATGCAAAGTAGATCAGGGACTCATTTCTATATATTGTTGGTGAGATGACATGGGTAATACTGATAAAGGTCATCGTAGGTAACTATAGGTGTTTACAGGTGCAGACTTCTTATGTCAATGCTTGTTTGATCCCATTTTATTTCTTTTGCAGCAGAGGTTTTTCCAATTTCATGGCATATGGAATTCAATAAACCAAGACATGTAACAGGATTATAAGCAGAATGTTTTAGTGCCATGTGGAGATCTCTAGTTTCATTTTAACCCTGAGGCAGTAAGTTGTACTGAGCTTTCAGAGTTTCCCCTTGCTGCCCTTTTCCTCCTCCGCCTCCTCTGGCTGCCATTACACAATGGCCAACTGTACCCAGGTGTCAGAGTTTGTCCTACTTGGCTTCAGGGGTGGGCCAGGAATGCAGAAAGTTCTGTTTCTGGTCTTTTTGGTGCTGTATGTCGTAGCCATGGTGGGAAACTTGGGCATGATTGTAATCATCAGGGCCGATGCTCACCTCCACACCCCCATGTACGACTTCCTGCAAAGCCTTTCCTTCCTGGATGTCTGCTATTCTTCCACAATTGCGCCCAGGGCTCTGGTAAACTGCCTGAAAGATGACCGCAGGGTGTCCTTTGCTGGGTGTGCATCTCAGTTCTTTTTTTTGTCTCTTTTTGGCACCACCGAGGCTTTCCTCCTGGCTGCCATGGCCTACGACCGCTTCTCTGCCATCTGCAACCCTCTTCTGTACCCCATGAGCATGACTCGCCAGTTCTGTGGACTACTGGTGTCTGGGTCCTACGCATGGGGCCTAGTGAATGCTGTCACTCAGACAACAATGACCTTCAGGCTGTCCTTCTGTGGGCCAAATGAGATCAACGACTTCTTCTGTGACGTCCCCCCACTCTTGTCCCTGTCTTGTTCAGACACCTCTGTGAACCAGTGGGTTCTCCTTGGCCTGTGTGGCTCCATCATTGTCAGCACCTTCTTGGTTGTGTTGGTCTCCTACCTCT